GGGGGGGCTGAAAGGTAGCTTAAAAGCAAACTCAAATCATATTTGCTCTGACAAAGGATATGCAAAACCCACATAAAGAGCTGACAGATCTGTAATAAAGTACTTGGCTTTATACGGAATCACAAAAATCTGTTTTCATCCGAGGACTAAGAAGAGAGTTGAATACAAATTATATTCTCTTCCAGGAAAAAACAAAAAAACCAAACCCTGCTTTCTCACTGTCCTGTGGTTCATGTTTCTGATACCGAGATCTCTTTCCTCCAAGGAGCTCGGTGTTCACTCTGCGTTTGTGCAGGACAGGTACCTCCAGGCGCAAACTTGGAGCTGATAGAGCCTTGACTTGACAAGCGCTGTTGGTATGAAAGGACTTTTAACCATTCTGACCTTTGTCAAGAGGTTGTTCTGGTATGCAGGCATAAGCAAGGAAGCTGACATCATAGGGCAAACCCATATTCACCCTGTGGCATTTTTGATTGCTTATAAACTTAAACAAGACTGTATTTTTACAACTAAAACCAGAACTTGAGGCCAGGTGGTCCCCACAGACTCCTCAGGTGTCTGCAGGCAGGTCCTGAGCATCACTGCCAAGTAAAACTTCTCATTTCCCTCCCCAGGGCAGCACAGGACGGAGGAGTTCCGGAAGGTGAACGTGCTGATGAAGGTGCCCGCGCTAAGGGACGGTTCTTTCACCTTGGCAGAGAGGTGAGGCTCAGAGAAGCTCCAACCCCTACTGCAGTGTTGTTTATCCTAATGCCTGGATTCTGCCAGTGCGCTGTTTGGTCCCTGCTGGGACTCCAGCCCAGGTGGCTGATTCCCCCCTTCCTGTCTGCTCCGCTTGTACATAAAATAAACCCACGTTTCAAGAGAAGCTTTCTCATGTAAGCAACTCACACAGCATTGATCGTGGAAAAATCTGTGAGCTGCTGCTTGGAGCCAGCCTGCGTGTAGGCAACGTTTCTGAGCCAAAACACCTGCCTGGGCATCCTCCCGCTCTCTGCCTTCAGCTGGAGGCTGTAGTTCAGTGCAGTAAATCTGGCGCAAGGCAGCCGCTGCTGGATGCCCGGCAATACAGAGCTCTGGTTTGGTATAAACTCATCCTGTGGCTCATATTTGCTCAAGAATGTCGATGGGGTAACGGTACCAGCCGGCCACGCCTGGTCTCGCTGGGCTGATGTATCAGGTAATCGCTGTCCACAAGCAGCTGGTCAAGCCAGCAGAAAGCTCTCTCCTGCTGTGCCCAGCTGGCAGTCGCGTGTCCTGCGCTTCTGCCTGACTCGGAGCAGGTTTGTATTGCTGCTGGCCCAGCAGTGCAAAATTTGGGGGAAGAAGAAGGGATGAGGTGCTTTAATCCCAGGTGACCAGCTCACTGGCCTGCCTTGCTCTCTGGGCAGCATTGCAATCCTCCTGTACCTGGCACGGAAATTCAAGACTCCTGATCACTGGTACCCATCTGACCTGCAGAAAAGGGCCAGGGTTGATGAGTACCTGTCATGGCAGCACGTCAACATTCGTGGGAAGGGGAGCAAGCTGTTCTTAACTAAGGTAAGGCCATTATATACCAAAAACTAAGTGCCAAGAGACGCGAGTGCAATGGCCCAGGAAGCATCTCCTGTGTGCGGGGCCCTTCTAAGCAAATGTACAAGCTCGGTGACAGATAGGAATAAAACTAGATGTGGAACTGGCTTGGCTGCTCAGCTGAGCCTCACCGAGGTGGCCCGAATACTTCATGCTGCAGCCGCAGCCCGGTGCGTGCACTGAGGTCCAGAGCAAATCCGTCCTGGGTGAGCAGCTAACACCAGACACAGCTCGCTGCCTTCTGCCCAGCTTCATGGAAAGAACAAACCTCCTGCTGGAAAACAAAATGCAGCTGCTTGCAGATGATGCAGCCTTCCCTTGAGAGGAGACTCTCGTGTTTGAAATTTCAGACTTTCTAGGGAGGAGACAAGGAGAGGCAGGAATTAATGACTGACATTAACGTTAATCTGCCAAAGGGGATTAGAAGTGCTATTTGTTCTCGTGCACAGCTGGCGAGGGATCCTTAGAAGAAGGCAGTGTGGGAGGGTGTGGACTAAATTTGGAGGGAAATATGTAAAAAGCAACTTGTTTCTTCTCCCTGCCAGGTGCTGCTGCCTCTCCTCACTGGCCAGCCACTTCCTCCAGAGAAACTGGAAGGTGTTACTGAAGAGCTGAATGTCGTCCTGAAGCAGTTTGAGGAGAAGTTCTTGCAGGATAAGCCCTTCATCGCAGGCAGCGAGATCTCTCTGGCAGACCTTGTAGCACTGGTGGAGCTCATGCAGGTGAGCATCAACCCCAACCTGTCGGAGATGTAGGCTGGGTTGTGGGCAGGCCGGGCCAAGGTGTGGCTGCGGCACCACCACCTCTTTAATGGCAGATCTTTCCCCTGCAGTTAACTCTTCAGTGGAGTTAAATCTTGTTCCCTTTTTACTTTGACCACAACTGAGTTTGCCAGGGAACACCTACTTTGGTGAGAGTCCTCGCTACAGAAGTACGGGCAGAATTCCTCAGAAAAAAGATAAATTACAAACTAGGCAGAGAAAGGAGAGATGTTTGGAAGAGATGTGTTGGCGTGCGTGGACCTCTGTGTTCTGCATTAGGCGGTTCTCGGATTAGCCATGGCAGTGCTCTTTCGCTGCGCGTCCCAGGGGACAGCAGCTGCCAAGGATGACAACATTTGCTTCCTACGAGCTAAGCACCAGAGATGAGCTCCACCTAATGCGATGACTGTCTGCTGCCTTGAGCCAAAAGCATATCCGTGCTTCAGTCTGGTCCCATCGCTGGCAAATGCGTTGTTTGACTCACTCCCGGGTTCCCTTGCTCTCTCTCTGCAGCCTGTAGGTGCTGGCTACAACCTCTTCGAGGAGCGGCCGAAGTTAGCAGCGTGGCGCAGGCGGGTGGAAGAAGCGGTGGGGAAGCAGCTCTTCCAGGAGGCCCATGAAGGGATCTTGAACGCCAAGAGCTTGACTGCTGATAAGATTGCACCCGAACTGCTGGAGCATTTCAAGCACCAGCTCCTGAAGCAGGCCAGCCAGAATTAAGCGGTTATAGTCTAAGTAAAATGGATTCTTTTCTGCAGGCTTTTTGTAGTATTTCAGCATTTCTTCTAAAACCATACAGAAACACCAGTCCACAGCCTTTTTGCAAGTTAGAAGGGAAGAAAACTACACCTTAGACTGCAGTGAGCTGCTTTCCCCTCTTGTTTACTCCAGGTATGTGGGCTGTAGCCCTATAGGCTTTTCTCTCTCGCTCCAACACCACTGGATCTGCTTGAGGCCAGAGGCAATTCGGTCCGTGTGGGAACCGAGGCCAGTCAGAACTGCCCTTTCCATCTGGGTTTCGAGTTTTCCAGGTCACAGCACTATAGACGGGGCAAAGGTTTCCTGAGTGTATGGCAGAGCAGATCTGTCTGAAACAAGAAAAATCACTGAAAGTGGCTTTTACTTTGCAACGAGCTCAGCTGGCAGATTTTTTCTCTTTCAGCAGAGGGACGGGTCAGGCCCCAGCCCTTGGCGGGGACCCTGCCGGGGCTCTCCCAGAGCACCGGGCCACTAGAGGCTGCTGCGTCACCCGTGGGAGCAGAGGGACCCTGCGCTGAGCGGGGGGCTGCGCAGGTACCCGAGTGGGGCCTCCGGCCTCTGGGAAGGACGGGTTGGGCCGGTGAACACAGATCCGCGACCGCAGGCTACTTTACAGAGAACGGCCCGCGCAGCTGAGAAGGGCTGCGCCTCGAGGCGAAGCTGCTGCCAACCGCGCGGTCTGCCTCCGCGA